AGTTACAGAAACGTGACTTTAACCAGGATAAAAATTACGTTTCATGTTCTGAACGCGTCTCTAGCCAAGAGTTCAATTCCATTAGTTCGCACGTAATGTCGTTTTTATTGAGGTAGCGCTTCCGCATCTCACTTTTACACAGTAGATTTTGACCGATAAATTTCCGGTGTGGGGCGGCAGTTGGAATTTATCTCCTGTGATAAAAATTTTTCCAAAATTAGGTAACATGGAAATCATGCTTAAAAAAGTACTTTCTCGTACTAATTCTTCTTTATCAATAATTTAGTAATTAAGATCAGCTAGATTATGATTTCTTCCCTATTGCGCAATAGAGGTTAAAATTAATTGAATCGTGCCAAATATTGTTTGAGGAGTTTTGATTTCCAGCAGTAATTACCATGCTTTGCCCTCTCTGTAAGACCGTCCATCGTGTTTTAATCTTCTTCTTGCGTATTTGATAGCGAATTCCGTGTATGCTTCAGCTACCCCTATCACCTGCAGGTGATGCAAGGTCTCCGGGATTCGGTAGCAAGTCCACAAGTCCTCGACAGAACCGCTATATATCCTTATCGTGAGAGGTGCTTGCAGGAATATCAAATCGCCGATAGGAATATTTGGTTCCAGCTCGAGCACCTTTTGGGCTATGCTTTGTATGGCCAATGGATAGAAACAGATGGATAGTTAAAAATAACAGGAAGAAAATATAAAACAATTTTCTGCTTTCACTTTGTATGTACACTTTTAATTTAGATGTTTTTGAAATGTAAAAAATATGAATTTTATCATTAGTTTGCTATTAAACAACTCTCTAATGGTAAACAGAAATGTTGCAGCCTCATTTCGCATCCAAACTGATATTAACCTTTAGTAAGTTTTTTTCAGTTAACCAGTAGGACATCAGAAAAATTAACTTAGTTAAATTAACTTTGGTAGATCGAAAAAAAACAAACAAAGCAGCTAGTCAGTCTGTTCAACCAGAACTTCAACTTCAGCCTTGATTCACTATTTCTGAGTATTACAAATGTGCCCTGATTTATATTGTAGTAATATAATATATAATCTCAACAAGTCAACAATTTCTACGACAGTCTTAAAAAGCTTTTAATGCTCTAAAAAATCATTTTTAGTGAAATTATACCGGCAAAGGTAAGAACACAGCCAATAAGCAAAAATTTTTGATTTATGACGGTTTTGAATTTAATTCTTTTTTGCTTTGTTCTTATTTTTTCCTCTGAAAAAATCGCTAAATTTTTATATCCACGCTGTGACTTAATGTCGGCAAGGTGCCCTCTGCCTTTTCAAATAAAAAAAATTATATACATTTTATTAAAAGACCTCCATCAGACTTACCAGCTTTCAACGCCTGTTCGTGCCTGTAGAGTGTTCTGTGGCTTTACTTTCAAGATTAAAACGGTCTTATCTTTCTAAAAGAAAAATTGCTTTCTTATCCAATTCTGTGCTTGTAACAATATTAAGAACGACCCTTATTCAACCTGCTTTGAAATACATAAACAGTGAGACTTCACTAGAAAACAAAAAATTACTAACTTGTTCTGTTTAGGAAAACTTATAAGGCCAATAAAATCGTGAAACAAAGAAACCTTCAGCTGTTATCTATTCAGTTTCAAAGAATTTTTCACAAGTTTGAGACCGTCTAAAAAGTAAAAAAATAAAAAAAAAACCAAATTTCCTCACTGTCGTATTCTGTAGCAACGCACCAAATTCGTCCAAAAACTGTATTGGTATCTCACGGTACGGGTAAGGAAATCCCATCTACTTTTATAGTGTTTTTTCTTGGTTGGTTAGTACGGGGATGAGTTTTGAGTTGTAAAGAACTCTCAAAACAATTTTTGTTAACGTAGAACGAGAGCAATATGAATTCCTCAACCTTATTTGTACAATCGTCTTTCTAAGCTTATTGATGCTACTGTCGTGTTCGACGAACATTATCTTCTCTGGTAATGATCCTGTATTAGAAGGAAGTTGTTTTATGCCACCTGTCAGGAATAATTTGTCAACCGCCGGATGTTGCAGATTGGGACTCTGAAGGTCCAAATGGGTGATTAGGTCTGCTTCATCAACAATCATCTTCTTAATATGACAATTTGCTTTCATAAATTGTTCCGTAAATGCTGATACAATCGTCACTGTTCCAAGGGTTATTTTAAGGTGGCAATAGTTTAAGATTTTCTCATTGCAAAGTGTTTCCTGTATTTTCCCCCAATATGCGAAAGTCGCTTTGTTTAGTACTCTTCTGTCGCTTGTTTTTCTCCTTCCATGTCATCTTTCGTGTCTTCCTAAATAAATTAGTGGATTTCCGGGATTTGACAATTGCTCCGTATTTCATCTTCCTTTGTGATTGAAGTGAGTTCTGCTGTAGCTGATTGCAGGAATAGTACGTGACCTATAAATAAGCTGATAGCCATTCAAAAAATGATTAAGCTAAGTTCTGGATCGCGTAATCGGTAGTAGCTGTGGCAAAAATAATATTCTACGTATTTGTTGACTAATACCATAGTGCGATCGTTACCATACATGTTTTTTCGTTCTTGCTGGTGATTGCTGGAATACAATAGGTATTCCTCTTGTCCTCAATGCTTGATACACTTTCGATTGTTCGCCTTCTAGCAGAATTTTCCCACATGGAGTGTTAAAGTCGACTTCCGTCTCAACAGGTGATTTCAAAAATTTTTCCTTTTCTCAGAATACAAGATAGTGTTGAGTGACTTCCTCCATTCATCATATTTGTTAGTCGTCAATATCTGGTAAGGCGGATTGTGGTTTCATGGCCGGTATAATCTGTATCTGGGTAGAAATAACAGCCGCTGTTTGAAAGTTCATTCAGAATATCGAGAACTAATCTTTAAAAAATTATCATACGTTCCTTAGTAGCATGGTATTTGACCTCCATTTTTAAATAATTCTTCAAAATAACATTGCGGATAGTCACCTTTATTCCACTTTTTCGACACCAAATATCATATTCTAATGCTTCTACACGAAGGATCTTTTAAAGTACACAGGCGCGCAGTCTTTTCGCTGATATTTGCAGTTCTCGTTGGTAACGAGGTGGTGAAATTTTGGATGCTAGACTGGCGCTTAGACTGAAGCTGGAAATACTATCCACGATGACTGATAGGCTGTAGAATAGAACATCTGCACTAATTGGCTTCGCGCAAATAGGGCTGATGTCAGTAAAATTTCTTTGTAAAAACGGATTTGCGTGGTTGCCATATGTCCTGGTTGTAGTGGATTTTTGAGGATACCTTCCACATCATATTGCGGTCTTGTAGCTTCAACAGTCCACATTTGACGAGCTAGAAAAGCTTTATCTTGGGGTTCCTCGCTTTCATATTCCTTAATTAAAAAATAGTTTCCAAGAAATAATTCCCCTTTGGATAATACGGTTGTCCTTAAATCTCCAATCTGCCCGGGTTCAAGTATTTGGTTTTGAAATTCCTTCATTTTACTCTCGTATGGCCTTTGTCGAGCATACTGTGAATTTAAGACGACATGCACATATGTTTAAGGACCATTTTTCGTATTCTAATGCTGCGTGTACTGGACATTCCCCGTTATCTAGACCTCGTTTCAATGATGAATTATTTCATGAATTTTGGCATGAGTGGGAGAAATTATCATTTGGTTCTTCCACCAATCACGGATACTCTCCCTTTTAAATTTTTAAACTTCTTGCAAAAAAAAAAATAAAAAAAAAAAAAAGAAATTTGAAAATACATTAATGACGTCTTGTAATTCCGCTTCAGCAATCCCATTGTATTGCCTAAAAGGCTCTTATTGCCTATCTCATTGATATTCAATAGACATTTTACTGGCGGCTTTCGTATTACTAACCAAATGCCAAATTGCAACCACTGAAAGTTGTTTTATTAAAAACCCAGTTTTTAAAGGCAAGGTTTAAAACTCTTTCAAATGAGCCAACTCAAATGGAGATTGATTCCGTAAATGGTCTAATTGAATACACTACGTTCGGAATAATTTTCAACAGCTTTAAGTTGTTAGTCCGCTAAAAAAAGATAACTGGAAATTTTTTTGCTACTACAACAACAGTTAGAAGCTTAAGGAAGCTCTATTTTACAGTACGTACAATAAACCGAAGTAAGTAAACCATAAACTATTACCATTCTTTTCTGCACGATTACTACAGCGTTGCTTTAAAGTCAACCGCTGTTGTTTGAAGTGGCTGACTGAAAGTACAGAATTACAGAATCTTTTGCTCTGTTTCAATTTACAACACTTTACAGGCGCTATTAGATGTAGTTTGTTGTATAAAAAGCGTTTTTAGCACCTGGTACTAAAAATTAAGCAATTCCTATTTAGCGTCTTGACGGTGTCCGTGGCTAACGGACAAGCGTCTAAAATGAAGGATTGTTACGGTAGTAATCCTCTACATTCCCAACAAGGGTCTTTCTAGTAACATGGTGTTTCCTCTGCGGGTCGTAATTTGTCCTTACTTGCCACGGTACCAATCAATAGACTGTAACTAGTATTAATTTGAGATTTTGGACCTCTGTGTCTTCAACCTCTTACACCTTGATGCCTTATGTACCTCTTAGGTAATACCTTCTTGCTATGTTGAGGCCCTTTCTTGCACTTAAACTCTTTTATTCTTACCCCACTGA